AAATAAAATATAGTAATATTTTTCGGAGCAAAATATTACATATTTGGCAAGAGGAAAGGAAATATGAAAACCTGCACTCAAGATATAAAAATCTTAACGCAATTCTTTTTGTTAATAAAAAAAATTATTAAGCAGCGCACGAAATTTTTATGCAGCTCATGACTCTGTGTGATATTTGCGGTTCAGCGTATGGGGTCCTAAAATTTCTAGTTAAAATGTTAATAGTTTTAATACAACATGAACAACAAAAACTCGTTTTGCGTTTAAGGTTTAACACAACTAACTCTTCGATTTTCCAATTTAAACATACCATAAAGTTTTGTTTGCTTATACTTTAGTTTTTGCGCCTACACCAGAGATGCCAACTGCTCCAAACACGCCAAAATAATTAAAAAAAAAAACGGTAAATAACTACAAAGTAAATTTTGCAAATATTTGACTATTTTTGCTTGTAAAATGGTATAACATGACTTAATTACTATAAAGTGGTGAGTTATATAAGCCTACGAATTATTTAGAAGTGGTAGTGGATGAAAATCTACTAAATTGAATTTATTAAACCAAGAATCAGATTTAATAAACTACCACTTTAAAGTATATATTTGCTGTCCGGAGCAAGTTGGCATCTCTGCTACACTAGTGAATCGATATAATATTGAACCATAATAGTAAGCAAAATTGCGGAAATATCAATTTTAAGCAACTGTGTTCCGTTGAGTATAGTTTTGTTTACTCTTAGAAAATTGGTACAATATTGAACGAAAATATAGGTACTATAAACGAGGCAAAGTTAAAGTTTCAGAAACTCTGTGTTATTCAGCAAAGTGTTACTTCGATGTTTAAAAAATTTGGTTCAGTACTGAAACTTAATATCGATACCTTTAACCAAAATACTTTGCAAAGTTTCTGAAATCGAGTTTTTCTGATCAAACATTTTTTGTTAAATACAGTGTCATTCGGATATGTCTTCACTCTCAAAAAATCGTTATAATATAAAAACAACATATCGGTACCTTGAATGAAGCAAAATTCCTTGAACTGTAAGTTTCATCAGATTATAAATTTATGTTTCAGCAGGTTTGTTCCGTTCAACACAGTTTGTTTGGATGTGCCAATTGGTATAATATTGAATAGAAAATTGGTATAATATTGAATCACAATATTGTGAAAAGTTCCTGTAATAATCTGATCCATGTTGCCGTAAATGTAGAACCACTATATCGCGTAGTTAGTTTAACACGTTCACGCCGGGAAAAGTGAAAATACTGGTAGAAGAACTATTCCAATATTAGATAATATTCGGGAGGAGGTAATCTATTCTCAACAATTCACTGTCAGGAAAGTTATCACGGCGAAGAAGCAATTCAGTATAAAAATTGCATCCGTTAAAAACAATNTACTCCCAGAGGTATTGATTTGTTATGGGAACATGGAGGACTTTGAGACTCGACAGATTTATCGTGCATCAGTGACCATTTACGACACGGGGAGTTTTCGACCTGCAGGGATCGAACCCACGACTACTTGGATATGGGCCCAGTGCACTTCCAACCAGTCTATCCCAGCCAGCCTGCACTAGTGAATCGATATAATATTGAACTATAATAGTAAGCAAAATTGCTGAATATCAATTTTAAGCAACTTTGTTCCGTTGAGTACAGTTTTGTGTACTCTTAGAAAATTCGTACAATATTGAACGAAAATATAGGTACTATAAACGAGGCAAAGTTATAACGAGTTTCAGAAACTTTGTGTTATTCAACAAAGTGTCATTTGGATGTTTAAAAAATTTGTTTCAGTATTGAACCTTAATATCGGTAACTTTAACCAAAATACTTTACAAAGTTTCTGAAATCGGAGTTTTTCTGATCAAACTTTTTTTGTTAAATACTGTGTCATTTGGATATGTCTTTACTCTCAAAAAATCTGTATTATATAAAACCAAAATATCGGTACCTTGAATGAAGCAAAATTCCTTGAACCGTAAGTTTCATCAGGTTATCAATTTATGTTTCAGCAGGTTTGTTCCGTTCAACACAGTTTGTTTGAATGCGCCAATACTATTAGAAAATTGGTATAATATTGAATCACAATATTGTGAAAAGTTCCTGTGATAATCTGATCCATGTTGCTGTAAATGTAGAACCACTATATCGTGTAGTTAGTTTAAGAAGTGTGATAACATGGTTCATCTAAACCATCATATTTAGATTGTTGCGAATTTGATATTTTGATCATCCCCTCTATCCTATTATATTGAAAAGCTGGAAAATATATGCCTAATAATGTTATCTGAAACCTATTAGTGTCAAAACAATAATGGCTAAAAATAATTAAAATTATTGTTAATTGCAGCTCTTGCTATTGAAACTTTCAGATTAAAATAGTATTTGTAAGCTTACAACTATAAATTTTATAGTTGAAAAGCATAATCTTCTCTTAAACTAAATGGCAGTTTTAACTAAATGTTTATGAAAATTATTATTTTGTTCTTATCTCTTATATCCCATCTACAATAAATATATTCTCACATAAGCGTTAGATATAACTTTTTTTAATAAAGTAAATTATTTTATGACTTTAGATCAAAATTAATGAAGGCAATAGTTATTCTTGTAACTTTTAGATTTGAATTGTAGTATCTCTTATTAGCTTAACGCGGATTTTAGAGATACCAATCATAATCTTCTCATAAATTAAATGGCATTGCTGACTAAAACGTTTATGATATTAGAAAGTAAATTATTATAAATGTTCACTTTATATATCTCAAAATAATTAATAGAATAAATTTTCAACTTGAACTGTACAGATCAAAATTAATGTAAACTGTAGTTCTTGTTACCTGATTTATTTGATGTAGTTCTTGTTATTAAGCTTGTTATAAGTTCCTGTTATTAAAGCTCTAGAATTAAAAATAAGCTAAGCTTTTTTTTTATTTTAGAGTTAAAAGCCTAATCTTCTCTTAAACTAAAATGCCATTAATTAAAAAGAGTATCTCACGTCTGGGTATACGTTGACATCAAAAGCAATAACTGGATTACTTCCTAGAGCTTTTTAAAGCTTTAAAATGTTTATCTTAGAGAGAGAGAAAAGAAAAAGTCGCAGGGCCGTGTTCTTAGGCGTCGCGTTCGATTAGATTTCAAGAAATTGCTTTCTCTAAGATTGCTTCGAGCCATCTTTTTTTTTTCTCTTCGAGATAATTCTTTGAAGAAAACAGAAATCTGTTTGAGAACACATTACGGATCCATTACGTTTCTTTTGATTAAACTTCTTGTGATTGCTTCTCATTAGAGGAATCGGAGGAGGATTTATTTTTTTCGTTGAGCTTAAATTTCAAAAATAGAGAAGTTTTGTTTCTTAAACGCTTAAGAGCTTTGTCATAAAATAAATTTATTATTTTCAAACCAGAGAAATGGTTAGAGTAACTTTTAATTTTGTTTTATATCAAAACTAAAAGAAATAAGTTGAAATATTTTTTTTATTTATTAACCAAACGACGACTTCTACTTTAAACAGAATTATAGAGTTTGGATGTTCAATAATATATTTTCGATAAGCCTATTGTTTCAAAATTATTAGGAACAATAAATTTACAAAGAATTAACAATTTAAATTTTTAAAAAAAAGGAATGAAAGTAGTGGAAATTAACCAATGTTAATTTTTTTTTCAAATGGCAGGCACTGAACGTTATTCTTCGCCTTGGAAGATGCCGGAATTGTTACTCATTTCACTTTGCCCAGTGGGCACCTGTCAATCAAAGTCACCGAGACGAGCAACATTATCCACGCCACACTGCCACAAACCCGTTTATAGGGTGGGCCACATTCACACATCACCCACAACGGAGGACAACACAAGAGAGTGAAATATCCATGCCCAGAGCGGGATTCGAACCCACAGCCGTTGGCTTCGCAGTCAGACGCGCTAACAGCTCAGCCACCTGGCCGGCGCAATGTTAAATCTAAAATTCTTCGAATAAGAAAAAAAATTCAAAATAATATCATCAAATATAAATAAATTTTTTTTACATGTAATAATATTAATCGTATTTTATAAGCTGAACGAAGACTTCTTTTTAAATTTCAGTTATAGTATTGTACAATCAAATAATAGGTTTTTAGTACATTTAATACATTGCTTAAAAATAATATGTAGTAATAAATAACTTACAATTAAGACAAAATCATTATTTTTTATTCCCTTACTCGAAGCTTAAATTTCAAAAACACAGATGTAATGAATTTTATGGTAAAAAATACCGGCACTCAGGGTGTCGGTAATTTTTTACCGTAAAATCCATTTTTAATGGAATAAGTTACGGGGCAAAAAATTTGATTTACCGTAATTTATAACGTAATAATTACCGTAATACCAATGAATCTCATCTAAATATATAAATATCAAAATAAAAATTACGATAGAATATTTTACGGTAAAAATAGATTTTACGGATGCACCCAAAGTGCTGGTACTTTATTCCATCATTTGATCAGGAATTTTTTGCAGTGATGATGTAACGTGACATTGTAATGTTACATGATGTAATGAGGTTGAAAAACAAATGTCGTGATTTTTTGAAAATAATCTCGTTTATTCTAGAGCAAGTTGCCGATAGTTTAATTTAAGAACAATAGCGAAAATGTCCTTTTTAAAAAAAATAATTACGAGGAAAATTTGTTTCAAAGCCCTTCTCTTCCTTTCAAATACAGAATACTTCCTTTTAATACATATGAGAACTTTCCGTCTTTATATTTAAAAAGTTGGTAGAGTTTTTTTTTTATCCTGGCCATTATCTGTCCATTTTAAAAGTTTCGAAATAGTTCATTAATATTTAAATCAGCAAATGTAAGCAGTATAGAAAAAAAATCAAAGCATTCAATACATTTGTAGGGGAATGGGGTGTTTTCAAGTTTTACCCTTAGATAAAGCATGTTTTTTTTTCTCTGAACTTGGAGTCACAGATAAAGATGTTTTTTAGAATCGACTTTTAAAGGTCAAATTCTATCAAAAAATCGCCCCCCCCCTTTGCTATCTAACTCTTATCGTATTATGAGAAAGTTGGTACCCGTTATATATCTATATAAATAGTGTTTACTGAATTATTTCTGTTACAGTTGCTGCCACTCTTGCATTTCTTTTAGCTCGATTTAAAGTAAGTAGTTATTGCCTTTTTTTCACTATTCCTAACATTTTGTGTGAACCATTTCCTGAAACTATGTTTTTTTACATACTTCATTAAATAATAATCAATTATTAAAGTAATCAAGAAAGATTCTGAATTAAAAAACTTTCAAATTAATATTTATATACTTGTACAGATAATAAATTTAAGTATCGCTCAAAATTGTTTCAACGTAATAGACATTTTATAATGCTTTTCTTGTCATTAAAATTTTTTGACATATCATAAAAACAATTGTTTTCACACCAGTTGATAGAGCTTACATGCATTTTTTCAAGTAAAAAGACAGATAACATAGTTCTGAGAAAGACAACACAAAGATACCCCCAGCGTTACGGTGAGATTCGAGACCACTACGTCTTCGCTACTGAGCATTTGGCGTGTTAAAACGCCTGTCTTGGGAAGCCCCATTAATTAGATTTTGCGCCAATAATTCTTAAAAAACCTTTTTTAAACATGTCAGAAGAAAATATACTTTTATCAATTATATTTAAGAATAATTTTATATAACATGTTTGATATTTTTTTAAACTTTTTTCATATACTCTGAAGCATATTTTACATTACATTAGAAACATAATATGCGATTCAAAATATAGCATACAAAATGTTCTGTTAACATTTTAGTTTGTTTAATTTTTAAAAAATAAAAATGCTTTAATTCACAACTAAAAAGTGCTCAGTGTGCGTTTTAAAAGCGAATAATTTGTATATAAAGATCAATATAATGCTACATATATGTAGCTAATTTACATACTGAAACAAAATGTTACTCATTTATAAAGTGAAAGCTCAAGCAAGGAAGCGTGTATCATTCTTATCGTAATTTTAATTGAATTTTTCAAAGACTCTAAATTAGTTTTTTCTATTCTGTTTTTCAAAGAAATAATATGTCACTCATTATTACAACAAATATAAAATTGTTTAGTTAATAGGTATTCGGTATTATAACTGGTAGTCTTAACAGAGACGGATTAAAAAGGGGTATTAAGGATGCATCTGCAGGCTTCCAAATGTTTAAATTTACTAACCTTTCAAAGTAAAATTGAATTTCGTAATTTTCTAAAAATAATTAGTTTTACAGCGTAATGTTTAACAAAGTTTCTTTAGAATCACTAAAAATGCATTGTATATTTTTGAAAGCAATATTCAAAATATAACTAATTTTTTATTTAATTTCGTTACGTTTTCATCTTCTAAAAACAAGTTATTGTTGACAAGTTCAGACCTGTTGTGACAAGTTTCAAGGTCGCATCCTTAAACTATTCCCTAATTTTATCTATTACTCTTGTGCTTTTTTATTTATCTATCATTAATATTGCTACTGGCCATTGGTGTTTGGCTTTTCGAAATGTTTTGTGTTACTCATCTATGATACAATTAAAATTTCTTGGTGGTTTTGGGTGACCGAAAATCTAACAAATTTTGTTAAAATATAAAATTTAATTCTTTTTCCTTTCGATTTTTAAAATGTGTACGTTTGATAGCTCTTGTTACTACTTAAGGTGTATAATTTTCCCCAGTAGATTTGTTCAAGTAGAACTTTAATGTTAAATGTAATTAAACTTATAAAAAAATATTAAATTCTTAAAGTGTTACCGTCTCAAATTTTGGCAAATAGTTACTGAATTTCGGTAAAAACAATTTTCGGTTAACAATTGAATTTTATAAATAGCTTTAATATTTCTGAATAAAGAATTAATTTTGACTAATTTAACGTGGGTTGAGCCCCCCAAATGCACACCAACCTAAGTTCCCATCCAACCTTGCACCGTAAAACAAATATTTAAATTTAAGTTGACGTACGAAGTTTATATCAGTTTTGATTGATTAATTATTGCTTACTATCACTTAATTTAAAAAAACATAGTTTAAATGAGCTAATTTAATTCATATTTTAATATACCACATGGAAATATTTTATATCACATTCCAGCGTCAGCCAGCATTTTATTACAGGGTTAACGCGGGCCTCAAGAATTTTTTGAAGTGGTAAGAATTAAATAAATGTCGATAATTTAATTTCTGTATATCGACCACTAAAAATTGTTTTCCAAAGAAAATGTGCATGCATGAAAATTCCAGCTTCTAAACCACTTAACGACGAAGTGGTATTTTAATATAGAAATTATCTTTTAGCATTAACCTAAATTAATTACGACTACTAAAAATTTTTTAAGGTCAGCACAAACCTTGTCATGTTAACGGTATTTTTTTTTAAATTGTTGAAATTTAATTTTTATGGCTGGTTGTAAATTCTGAGATAGTTTCTATATTTACACTTGTCTGCTCTTATTTATTTCTGGGAAGATTTAATTTTTATGTTTAATGTGTTGGTAATCACATTTTATTCTCCATTAAAAAAAGAAACGGTTTAAAATCATTTTGACAATCATTACATTTGAACAGTTTAAACATACTTATGATAGCCTTGCTAGCTCTGTGATAGTATTTATAATCGTTGGCTGAATTTTTACGAAACACTAACATACAATCAGGGCTGAAAGTCTACATATATCACGACTGAAAGTAGCAAAAACTGGTAAGAAAGACATTTCACTCTAGCATCTTTTTTTTTTTTTTTTTTAGAAAATCTAAATTTCTGTAACTATTAAGGTTTTATTTTTACTATTATAGTATATATATAAATTTACCTTTTCCTATATATTTACAAGAAAGCCCACAAATATATAAATTGTGATCCACTGTTTGGTAATACCACTCGTGCCAGATTAGATGTGCCTTGATTGGAACCACCACGAATATAACCAACTTATTAAAAAATAGTAATTATTTTTTTAAAAAAAGAATGTGGTAAAAAAATTGAATTCTTAAAAATAAATTCAAAACATTTGTATAAAGAACAGAACTAAAGAAATCCAAAATAATACTCGTAGGATTAATTGATACAATTTTTATTTAATTTTCTGTAACAATTTCGTTATTTTTTTTGCACTGATGTATTATCACACATCAGTAACATATTTTTTCAACAAAGTAAGCTGAAATAAAGTTACTTTAAATAAAATGTATGAGGTAAAAAATATTAAATTCCCCAATAAAATAGTAACATTAATATGAGTTGTAGTTTTCTATCATAAATTCATTAAAAAAAGGAAAAGTTGATACTACCGCTATAGAGGGACTGTAATATTTAGACGAGAGTTAAACATTTCATACCACATGCTAGCTTCAGCACGCATTTATTTTAATTACATTTACGTAAAGGATTTTTCAAAAATCAATAATAAAAATAAATTAGTACAAATTATATTTAATAAAAAAGCGGTAAACAACTGACTTAAAATTATTAGATATTTTTTATTTTGATTCATCAGATTGTCTCAAAATCAATTAAAACTATTGTAATATTATTTTAATACTCCCTATTAAATTGTCGAAAAGAATTTTCCGGCAATAATACGATCAAGTGATTTAAATTAAAAAATAAATCTTTGAATGTTTTAATAAACTGAAAGTTTAGCTAAGTTCTGGCTAGAAGAATAATATTAAAATAAGTGAATGTTTCGTATTTTCCAAATAATGCTGTATTAAAATAAACGTTAAGTTATAGCATACCTGTTAACTTTTACGCATTTGACGTAAAATTTTATTTCTATATTTAAAGTGGTAGTGAAATGTATGCTTTCTATATATTCCTTGCATTTATAAACTTAATTTATAATCTTTTTTGACCACCACTATTCTTAAAAAAGTTAAGCATATATATTAATATGCTATGGTACTCCGCTTAATCATTTTCACAATACAGCTTATGTTTCAGCCTAAAATTGTTTTAAATTCCATTTTACTGCCACTGGGGAAAAGCATCCTCGAAAGAATTAAAAGTTGGCAGGTACGTCATTGCTTACACTTTTTTCGTTTTTCCTCCTCACATATACAATCTGCGCTATGTTCATGACAGATAGCTTTAAACTGTTTCGAACGCACANCCGTCTGCGCGGACGCTGGATTCGAGAAATTTGTTGTCCGCGGGAAATTTTTGACCGCCGAGGACGGGCGGTTTTTCGAGCCCTGATTTTCACAATACAGCTTATGTTTCGGCTTAAAATTGTTTTAAATTCCAATTTACTGCCACTGGGGAAAAGCATCCTCGAAAGAATTAAAAGTTGGCAGGTACGTCATTGCTTACACTTTTTTCATTTTTCCTCCTCACATATACAATCTGCGCTATGTTCATTGTAATCAATGACAGATAGCTTTAAACTGTTTCGAACGCACAATATTTAAAAAATATATATAATTCATTATTTTCTAAAACTGTTATTTATTTCTGTAAGATCTTGGAGAATATTTATAATTAAAACAAAAAAAAAATCTACAACATTATTTTTCTTAAAAAGAAAAGAAGTAAAAGACTGTCAATAATTTTCTAACATTCAGAAACTTTCTTTTAAACGTTCGAATCAAGAACAAAACTAAAGCAATACAAAATGAAACTTGTAGGATTATTTGATGCATTGTTAATTAATTTTCTTATAAAATTAGAACAAACTTTCTTTCTTTTCGTATAGATGTTATTATGAAACATCTGTAATATAATTTTACAATAAAGTCATATCTGTAAATAGCGCAACAAAATAGTATTATTTATTATAGTTAATTTCTATCATGTTTTTGATTTATTGTAAAAAATGAAATGATGATACTACCACTATATACGGATCGCAAGACTATGAGGAAAATATTTTATACTGTGTACTAACACCAGCTGGTGTCTTTTTTTTAAAATTGTAATAAGTTGTAATAACTACACAATTAAATTGCGAATAAAAATCTTTTGTAAAAATTTAATTTTTAAAAATAGCGATAAAAGTAGTCGTAAAATTTTAATAGTTTTACTTAAGGTTTATTTAACCCACCGGTTTAACATATGGGCTATTTCTCTATCTAATAACGTAGAAAAACCGTTTATGCTAAGTAGAGAAGACTGCAGGTTAAAATACGATTTTTTACTTGCAGAACCTTCAGTGGGTAAAGGGTAATTAATTTGGATTTCAGAGATAACCCTTTTGAAGGCCGTGGTAAGTATACTTACCACCACGTTTTAACACTTTTAATTTAGGCTTCCATTTTTCAATAACTTCAGCTTTCTTGAAGTGAGTTTGAATAAAATTGGTAACCATTTGTCACTTTTAAAAAACGTATAAAAGTTATAAATACATAATTCCTTTTGAAGTTTGTAGCATTTAAGGAATTTATTTTATAAATAAAGAAAAAGTCAGTAAGTTCCTAATAGGTCATGTTAAATATATTATATATCAATTACTGTTCCTAAAACAATTTCAATTCCAAAATTACTTTAATTTACCTTTACTAGAAATAAAGGGCCCGTTAAAGGGTTAAATAAACTGAAAGTTTAGCAAAGTTCTGGCTAGAAGAATATTATTAAAATAAGTGAATGTTTCATATTTTCCTTATAATGAGTTCAAATAATGCTGCATTAAAGTAGACTTTAAGTTATTGCATTCCTGTTAAATTTTACGCATTTGACGTAAAATTTTATTTCTATATTTAAAGTGGTAGTAAAATGTATGCTTTCTGTATATTCCTTGCATTTATAAACTTAATTTATAACCATTTTTTACCACCACTATTTTTAAAAAAGTTAAGCATATATATTAATATGCATTACATGGCAGCAAAATAATAAGCTAAACATTTATTTTAATTTTAAAAAAGATTAGGAGTATGCTTTCCAAGTATTATAGTCTGGTAAATTATTCACGTTTCGAAGCAAAATTCAACTAATTATAATTTCCGAAAATAAGATTTTGAAGACTTGTATACCTTAGACATTTAAAGACCTTATTCAAAGTCTATAAAACTTTCCCAGAACAATGTTTTGACTAAGCTGGGACCGTCACCGTAAATTGCATCTGTAAACATCACTGTCTGAACATTTCGTGCGGCTAACCGTGTAAGGCTTCGGGTTTCCCTGCATCATTGAAAACAAATACCAGTTAATCATCCACGAAACCGAATTTTTCCCAATATGTGATGCATTAGTATCCAGTTGTTTAAAAGGTTACAAAATAATGACAAATTAAAAATGCAAACTTAACTGCATTTTTTGATGGGGAATGAAACAAAGTAAATGTAATTAAGACTTTATAAAAAGTGCTTTTTTTTCTAACTTAAGCTTTTTTTTTCAGCTTCAGAACAATTATGGGCTTTAAGTAAGCAGTAGTTCTTCTATTCGCTTGCGTCAGCGTCATCAAAGCATATTCATGTCCTAATGATGGCCGAACATTTTATCATGCAGATGTCAGCACAGGATGTCGGGTAATTATCTTTATTTCTTCCCTTGTCTTAAGTTCAAAATGAAGATAAAACAAAGAAAAATTATAAACATATAAAAAAAGGAGGGGGAAAATAATAAGTAACAAAATAACAAACTACAGTTTAAAAGAAAAAAAAAGGATTAAATTTTATTTAAAAAAAACGGAAAAATAAGATATAATCTTTTCATCAGCCCACACGATTATATTCGCAAAAAAGAGTGCTTTCTGATATTGTATCAATATAGCCAAAGCAAAATATATTAATACAATAGTGTGAGGAGCACTCAAAAAAATTTTACAAAAATGTCAACACAATAAGTAAAAATACACAATAAGTAAACACAATAAGTAAAAATAACATGTGAAAACAGAAAATAAAATAAAAGAAAAAGAAAAAACAGTATAAAACATAGACTATATAGCGAGTAGCGAAATCAGATGTACTTACAAGGACGGGAAATTTTTCAAGAATGATTTAAAAATGTTTTCGCAACAAGATTGCCAAATTACAAAATATGAAAACAAAAGCGCAAATTCAGTGTAACTAGCGGGTTTTAAAGTGCCGTTCTTACTGCACTGCTGAAGTGATTTGTTATTCTGTGCATTGATTTGTTAGTTACCAAAGATGGGCCCGAAATGGATGTGCGCAAGGTAATATTATACTGAATAATTTTAAAAAGTTGACCATAAATAGTTTTAGAAAATAGATGTTTATTTAAGAAAAAATATAAAATAGTAAAGAGACACATAAATTGTCTTTTTTGTAAATAATTTTAGCCACGGATTTGCCCGATATGGATTTGAAAATGGAAAAATTTTATAAATTATCAAAGAAAAAAAAATTAATAGATAATTTTAACAGGATTTGCACATGGAAAAATTGTATAAATTAATAAAGAAAATTTTAGTAAATAATTTTACCCACGGATTTGCCCGAAATGGATTTGCGCTTGGAAAAATTATATAGATTAACGAAGGAAATTATTTAGAGAAGGAATTTTTTAGTAAATAATTTTAACCGCGGATTTGCACATGGAAAAATTATACAAACTAACAAAGAAATTATTAAGTAAATAAGTTTGGCAATGGATTTACCCGAAATGGATTTGTACATTGGAAAATTATATAAATTAACAAAGAAAATGTTTAGTAAATATATCCACAAAAATGTACGATTAGTTCAATGATTTTATAACAAATTTTATTACTTTAGTTGGGTATCCATTGTTTTTTTTATCAAATTTTGAAAGTGTTTATCGATTTGTTTTTTGGATAAATAAATATTACTACATATTCTTTTAATTCTGTTCATTTCATTAAAAGTGGTATTTAAATAGATGCTCCTAGAAACATTAGAATTCCAAGTAATTAATTTATTAATATTAAAATTAAAATCATTTCTTTTATCGTATAAATCAACAAAGGAGATATTTTCAACTTTTATAATACCCAAATCCAAATAATTTAAATTAATATTATCATCATGATTACGAAGTAAGATTAATTTCTCTGGGTTAATATCATTTAATGAAATAATAAAATCTTGGAAATTAAAGATAATTAAGTCATCAATATATCTAAAAACAAATTTAATACTAAGAGTATAATTAATACTAAGAGTATAATTATGTGGTTGTTGTTTTAATAACTTCACTGCCAGTTGAGTACAGAAGATTAAGTTGTATCGACTCGTTTTTAGCAATCATTTTACTTCTTAAAATTGGCTCTAAGTTTATTATATTTAAGTTTATACAGTGTAATTTGAAATTCCGATCCTATTGCATACGGTGAAAATTTCATGTTTATAAAGGAGATGGGCTAGTGAGGACAATATTTAGTCATTTCCCAAAAACAATTTACTAATCATTATATTGATTATACCCAGTACTTTTTAAAATTAAAATGTAAGCTTTTTTTTTATTTTGAATGAAAAACAGGCTAATTATACTTTTAAAAACACTTTGTCCACAGACAGGGTTGCTACGGGCAACTAAAAATGCAAAAAGTGGTGATTATTAATATCCTATCTTTTCTTTAAAAAATATTAAATCAGCAACTTTTTCTAGCATCATCTTTTCTTTTCTTTTTTTTTTGCAATTTAGAAAATGCAGGTTATATTTTTTATTTAAATATGAATAGTTAGAAATATGAGTCATAATGGTAGTTAAGATTGAAAAGTTTAAAAAAAAAAATGAACAAAAATAAATTGAGTTTCTACGACTTTTTGTAGTTTCAGTCGCCCGCGGCATCCCTGCGCACAAGTGCAATGTGCTAATGGGGACAAGCCATAAAAGTTAATTATTTAACCCGTTGCACTGGAGGTCCTTTCTATGGTTTAAAAAAACAAGTGCAACTGCTAAAAGTTTACATTGTTTACATCTTGAGACTGAAGCAGGGTGAATCCATCACCTCCTACATGAAGAAGCCTCCACACGGTCTTTTATAAGTAGTCCGCGCAGACTGTTTCAAAAGTGAACCAGTTGTGCGCATGAACCCAAAACCTTTTACAAAAGTAATTGAAAGAAATTTATCTTATATACTCGAGAATTGAATCTGTAGTGGCTGACAAGTGAATAAGGCAAACCAATAATATTCATAAATAAAATAAATTTTTAGTCATATATTTGCTACCACTTTCTTATTTTAACTATATTCTGTATTAAATGATTCGTTCAGTAAGTGGATGTCCTTCTCAATGGTCTGATCGGACTACCTGTAAAAAACTGTGTGGAGGCGTTGGTTTTTCGTTCATCGTTTTTTTAAATTACAAACTGATGATACACGGATATTGACAAAAGTATTTTTCTCTTAAATATTTTCATAAACTTTTCTAAAGGTAAATCTTTATATCCATAAATTTTAAAACTTGATTTTTCAAGAACTATCCTACAGATTTTGCACAATTTTTTTTCTTTTGCTGTGTAAAATTATACGCTTTACAATGATATAAAGAATTGTGTGCCTCACAATTCAAAATTTCTTCGATTGTTATTAAATAAAATCATAAAATTAGTAAAATTATTTTTTGCATTGAGTTATCTTTAGACAAACGAGTTTTATAATTGTAAGTAAAAATTTTCCAATTGGCTGCAAAAGTTCTCGAGATATGGCGAAATACGAAAAAGTTAAACTTAACATTAATTGTGTAAGCTTTTACAGCGATCTTATTCTTTTATTTCCACTGACATACACAGACGATAAACAAAAAACATTAATAACAAGAAAAAAGTCGTTTGGTTGCCTAGCAACTAGCCAGAGTTGCAGTAATTATATTTACAAGAGTTGGCAGACGATTTAAAAAAATTATTTAAACTAACTGTCCATTGATGTCAGAACAAACAGAAATTGAGGTTCCAAACTTTGGATCGCTCTCCTGATCAAACTACGGGAATTATATTTCCCAGATTGCGGCTACCCCCTATATTCTGGGGATCAAAAATCCAAATCCGTGAAAATACCTGTAAGAGATGGTTTGATGAGAGACTTACATTAACGAGAATGATTTAAAAATTCTGCCCATTCGAATAATAATATTAATATTGCATAACATTCGAAAATGTATGGTTTTATATTATCATTAATATCAAGCTTAAGGTTTTCAATGCATAGATATAATATTTTCTTGCCTTTGTGTTCTTTCAAAATTATCGAAATTTTTCCTGAATCTTTTGTGAATTTCCGTCTTTCTCGCTTGACAAACATGAAACTCCTAGTTTCTGGCAGTACTACAATTTACTCCTTTCGAAAAAATTTAACTACCATTATTTAATCGAAATATCTTAGACAACACTAGAAAATGCTAAAAAAAAAATAAAATTGCTACCAGCTCTATATTTATTATAAAATTAGTAAGTTTATAAGAGATTAATCTCTTTCAAAAAAATCTATGAGAATTTTCATAAGTCCCTACAGTACTTTTAGAGTGTGGAGGATATATTTTATGAAAGATAACCAGTTTTTAAGTTGCTCTGTGGAGTACAATAAGTTCGTTAAATATTAACCGGTTAACGCCCAGCGTCATATATATGTAGGACAGTTCCTTTTTTCAAAGACATTCATTGTGATGAGAAACTTTTTTCAGCATTTTCATTTATCTGGGTGAATTAAAAGATTCTCAGATACCACAATGATTTAGTTATTTCTGATTAGATCTAGAATTATAAGGAACAAGTACTTTTTGATCTATCAAAGACTTTTTCGATACCATAACAGTGGAAAAACCAATTAATTTCGATAATATATTAAACCACTTTTTCCATAAAACCACTTTTTGTATCATTTCCATATATAAATTCGGGACAAAACGGGTTAAGTAGTTAGAGAAAATGGCGCCAGGTTTAGTTAAATAAGTATTAGATTCACATGTGATAGTTCTAAATTTTACAGGAATTTTATGAAATTTAGGACTGATAATTAAGTATGAAAATTGTATATTGCTAATTTTAATTTTTAATCTCTTGTAAAAAGCTAAAAACTTTTTGATGACAATATTATTATTAAAATTACTAAGTTTAATATTTTTACTATTTTTTAATTCCGTATTTAAAAGTTCAGCATAGAATTTTTTACAGAATATAGCATAATTATTGTTAGCTTTGTCTATGGGAGTAATTAAAATTTTTTTTTTGAAGTTGCTTAATTGATTGAACAATATTAGAAAAACAATTCCTTTTAACAACTAAAACAAACATATCCGCATGTTTAATCAATTAAAACCAAGATTTCTTAAAAATAAAGGCAGAGTAAATTGTAAAACTTTACGATTCTTGAGTTGCAAAAAAAAAAAATATTTTGTCCATGTATAGCATCGCTCCCTTTAAAAGCAAGCAAGAACAAATTTGTTTCACTACCACTATCAGCAGTGTATAATAAATATACACTAGGCAGTATAGGCAAAAATAAATATACACTAGGCAGTATAGGGTTTTTGCTCACTTTTATTCGCAAAAACCAAAAAATTAAAACTCATAGAAATTAGTGAAAAGTAAAAATTTTTATGTTAACTATAACAATAAGAATCTTTTTTAACATCTGTTCTTTTTCTGCTTCCAAAAAATACATCATCAAATAATATATTTAACAATCCCAACCAGAATTTAGAATTGAATTTTTTTTTAGAAAATTGAAATCTCAATTTTTCAAACAAGTTTTGTTGACGCGTAAGACTCACACACTTTTTAAAAGGTGTTTAAGGTCTGATACACCAATAAAAAAACTTTTAAATAACAGTTTTTTACATTTCAAATAACTATGAAAAATACTTCTACAATTATAGATTATCGATTATTATTTATGTTGTTTATCACTCTCTTTCTCTATCTGTCTCTCTTTTAACTCTAGAATCATTTAGGTTAAAAACACTGAATGCAAGGGGCATAATTAGCCCCCAATTAAAAAATTCGCTTCAAAATTTCAATTCGTGTGGTCAGAAAGAACTTTTCAGGAACGAATTTTTTTCCCTTGGTTTAACTATAAGCATTCTTATAAGTTAAAGTTTAGACGGTCTCGATTCTTCAGATGCTTAAACGTTAATATCTGTAATTTTTGTTAACTCACAGCCTTATTTAATGAAAGAAAGAATTTAATGAACGTTTTTTAATATTAATTATTTTTTTATTTTGTTACGTCAGTTGAGATCGAGGATCTAAATGAGGTGTGAGAGGGCTATGTCACTGAATTAGTATTCCTAAAGTTACTTGAAACTGCGTTCCTATTTTGCTTACAGTTACGCTTTTGAAACGTGTTTTTGCAAAACTAAATAATCTAAAATAAACGGTAATTAAAATAAAAAAAAGTTTACGAGAAAGAAAATAAATATAGAAAACGTTCTGAGAAATCGTAAAAAAAAACCCAAATCATTTTTGAAGCCAATGCTGTTTTTATATGTACCAAATATACTAGAGTATGTATTTAATATGAGCACTTTGATAAGATAATGTAGTATTTTTAGACCTCAGTAAGGAATAAGTAGAAAAATGTGTTTGATTTTGATTATAATTGAGTAAGCTGCGAGTAATACCATCAAACCAAAAAATAGTGAAGAAAATAAATCTTTATTTCGATGAGTTAAACTTCCATAAAAAGGGGATTTGCCTCATCAAATAACGCAAATCATCAGAGAGGGGAGCACGTAATCATGAATAAATAAAAATATTAATAAATAAATAAAAATATTAATAAATAAATAAAAATATTAATAAATAAATATAAATATTAATAAATGAATGTAAATACTAATAAATAAATAAATAAAGATAACAAATACTATTTAAATAAATATATCAATAAATAAATAAAAATGATAATATAATTAATAAAACAAAAACAGTTTCTTTTAAACTACTCTCTCTTTATATAAACTATCTTTCTTTTATCAGTAAATATTTTACATAACAAAACTGCGGAACGAACATAACAAACGAGCATAACAAACTGAAAGATCATGCTTGAAGCTTTTAAAAATGATGCTAGTTTTACCCATCCACGCAAAATTTTGGGTCGACCATGCGTTTAAAGTTAATATTTTTTTACTCTTTTTCAATTTTAGTACTAGCAATTTCGAATTCATTTTATAGACTGAGAAGCCAACTTCAGCGAATTCAACAAAATATTTTAAAAAATGGTAGAGCACTTAATGACATAAGCCTTTGAATTATTTAGAAGCAATGGCGAGTAATAATACTATTAACAAGTTGAATGCCACGCTAATTTTACATGGCTTGCCCGTCTGGCCACATGGTAAATAACTACGAACTGAGTTTGCAAATTTGGCAGATATTGCAAGATTTTTAAAAGGTTTAGCATGACTAATCTGAAAAAAGTGGTGAATTCTATAAGCCTACGGACTGTTTTGATATAGTGGTGGATAAAAATCTACTAAATTGAATTTATTAAGCCAATAATCATAATTAATAAACAACCACTTGAAAATATTTATTCGTTGTCCGGAGCAAGTCGGCATCTCAGTGCATATAAATAAAACTATTTTTGTGTGTTCTATACTGCATGAATTTCTTCAAACCACTTTAATAACGATAATAACATTAAAAAAATTAAAAATTTCCTCGAATGATGTGTTTTTAATATTCTTGGCATCGCCGGTCACCGGTGACCCCCCTGGCTCATTAAAAGACTACCACAAGAAAATACTAATTTGATGCCCGGAGCAAGTTGGCATCACTATAAGGAAATGGTTTGTAATATTTTTTGAAAAATGCGTCTTTATTTATAGTGGTTTTCACTAAGGAAATAAGCTTTTAGCTTCCAACGCTCATTTCCGCCAATGCAAATTTCGCATGAGTTAAAAAGACACCATTTCAAAAAGGGTCAAGCATAACTTTCCAAATTTTACCAGCGATTTTTCCATATAAAATCTTTGAAAGTATTTGCTACTAAAAAAGTTGTTTTCTACTGAATTAGTATAGAAGTGCAAGTGTATCCATGATTTTATTCAACCCCTCTAGTTGTAACTGCACAAACCGTAACTGTGATAAGATCTGAAACTTTTAAATACCTAAAAATTAATTTGCTTATCTTTAAATTACTTTACAGAATGTAAATTTTAATGACTTATTTTTTTTTAATTTATAAATGTCACAATAAAAAGTGCCTGAGAAATATGTATTGTAACAGCCTAATTTGTAACAGCCTAAACACTGTATTGTAACAGCCTAAACACTGCTAAAGTAATGCTACCTTGATTATATAATAAGGCGAGTATTTTATTTTGAGAAGGTTGCATTTACGGTGCATTTCTCTCTTCTGGAACAATGTTTTTAAACCTAATTTCAAAAATACTCAAAATATCCCTTACACGAAAAATTATTTTGTTAATTTTAATTTTCTGTGGAAAAAATACAAAACATAATTTAGGAAACTTTACATATTATAAATACATCTTAGATTCATGACTTGATTGTTATCTACGGAAGAAGTTAAACCAATGCCAAAACAAGATCCTTAGAAAAATAACCTGTGCAAGATGGTTCATCCGGAATACCAATATACATGCAGATCTCAAAATACCAACTCTATCACAGCATATATACAAGCTAAACGCAGATTTTTTCGATAAAGCCATAGAATGTAAAACAGCAAATTTTAATGAAATCTTTAAATTTGAAAATTATATCAAAGATAAAAACTGCAGACCAATAGCTGCACATTTCACCTACGACGCCTCATATCATAACTATCAAAACAAATAATTTCATCAACCTTTCTGAAAATAACGTTTACTCATGCCGATACAATTCTGAACAACTCCAAAATCAAACAAACACAGTTTAGAACAAGCTGCTCAATTTATTTTTGATTCCTTTTTAGTTATTCAAGCAAAGAGCTTGAAACATTCATAAAAGCAACTCCATTGCCTGCTTACCTCATCGCTCAACCAAAACTGTTCTAAAATTTCAGATGAATGGGATAGGGGCTGCTTCGCGGCCCAGGTGCCCAATAAAATCAAAACACCAGGACTAGGACTTGATTGTTAGATGATAGGAATAAATATTGACTTTACTTATTATAAATACATCTTAGATTCATGACTTGATCGTTAGATGATAGGAATAAATATTAACTTTACTTATTATAAATACATCTTAGATTCATGACTTGATTGTTGGATTACAGGAATAAATATTAACTTTACATATTATAAATACATCTTAGATTCATGACTTGATTGTTAGATGATAGGAATAAATATTAACTTTACATATTATAAATACATCTTAGATTCGTGACTTGATTGTTAGATGATAGGAATAAATATTTAATTTTATAAAAAAAATGTGTTTCATCGTTCTAGGTATATCATCTATGCCGAGGATCCGAAATGTCAACATTAAATTGTCCAGGAGGACAAGCATTCGATCATCACTCAAACGAATGTCGAGATCAAGCGTCAGTACACTGCGTTGAAACAGATCACAGTCATCATCACCGACACAGGCGCTCGGAATCGGACACAGAATCCGACGAAATGGTTCACTCTATCAACATCGAAGAACTTAGAGATGAGCTCAAAGAATTTTGTCAAGAATTAAGAGCCCTTATCAAAGCTGCAGTCAAAGATGTCGCTCCAACTGTTTATTCCCAAATCGAAACACACTATGCACCGACTTTAAAAAAATTCAAGGATGAAGTTATGCCCTTTGTTAATGACAAAGTTAAACCGAAAATGGAAAAAAGTCTTAATTATGCCAAGAAAGTGGCTCATCGCGTTTTTGAAAAGGTTTACAAATCATATGAGCTCTCCAATTCTACTCACGTCAATTTAGTTTCATTCTCAGATTTGGCAACTGATCTAGCCAAAGACTTGGAACCAGTTCTGAAGCTCGGAAAGTACTTGTCAGCTAGATTAGTACAAGATAAGAGAGTATAGTAACCACGGATGGAATCACTGACTGGAGAAAGGATCTCATGAATGGTTCGATAAAGTAACGAACATTGACTAAGTTTTAAGGTATAACTGCTGACTAACGTAAAGGCCAAAAAACATGGTCTCTAATGTCGCTATATATATCTCAGTAGGCATAATGATTTATAGTTTCTAAATAAAGCAAAATGGTTTTTAATGTGTTACTCCCATTATTTACCTTTCACTTTTTTTGTCGTATGCCTGTTTAGGCAGTGAGGGTGCGATTGTTTCTGTTCTTCAGTGGCGCCATCTATGGCCAGGAATTCGACTTCTGCCACGCCATTCACATAACCACAACCCGTTTATAGGGCGGGTCACACTCACACACAAAGGAGAAAGGACATAGAACACACAGAGAGAGAAATAAACATCCATGCCTTGCCCGGGATTCAAACCCAGGACCCTTCTGATGCAAGAACAGTTCCCTGCCCCCTACACAGGTCGGTCGACTACCTTTCACTTGAAATATATTAATAATTTTAACCCCCAACTTGCTGCTTTTCACCTACCGCCATGAAAGCTTGAACCATGTTTTTTTTTTACGGACAAAAAATTTATTTACAAATTACAATTAAAAATTACATAATAAAAATTGTTTAAAATGTTTCATTTTACTTACGCAGATTTATTTCCCTAGATATGACTTCCGATTTTATTGGGGTGAAATTTACATCTCATCATTTACCTCAACTTTTATTACAACTCCATGCACATTCTTAGTTTTTTATTATTTCTTTTTCAAAATCTCATTTTAAGTTTTAGTTTCTATAAAAATTGTTTTTAATAGTTTTCTTCAAAAAGAGTGTTGACCCTTTCGTGCCGACTGTCACAAATACGTGCCAGAATAAAACGGTATCAACCTGGGTAAAAAGATAAAACTGGTAATCAAAGTAATTCTTTAACATTTTATTTGTGGGCGGAGTTATAATTGTTTGATTTATTTAATTCACCATTACTTTGTTCAAAATAAAACTATTTACATATACTTTGAATTAACATTGATTATATATATGATTAAACTAACAATAATTAAAGTAAAAGCAAAGTAAGTCTGTCAAATTAGAAACGACTACATTTAAGTTACCGTTTTTTATTTAATTACGTCCTGATCGTGATTTTGTACGAATGCTTTTCTGAATCACCCGTCCCCGAGGGGTTCAATAGTGCAACTTGAAAGTTTAAATAATTATTTTGTAATAATAACTTTAATTGCATATGTTGATTGTTCACAGTTTAACTCAAAATATGTTATAAATGTAAATTTAACTTTTTAAAACTTATAACTTATTAACTCTTTAGTGATTGCGCAACGATAACTTACACTTTTCATAAAATCATTCAAGAAACACTGTATAATTACTTAATATTACATTTAATACACACAATTATAAAATTTTATTATAAGTTAACTTTTCCTAAAATATGTTTAGTGATTATGTACAACCTCACTGTTTACTTACTGTAAATTCACCACTAGGACAAAGTATAGTGTTTTCTGACTTTGCATGTAAACCTAGTACGTTTCAAGTTAAGACTAAAATTATTTACACTGATTCAAAATGCTTTCGTATTTAAACAAAACAAATTCAAAAACAGTTTACATCGTCGTTTTTGCAACATTTAAGTTTTTAACTGTAGAAGAACTAAAATTTTTGACCAATAATATGAAAGCGTCAAAGCCTATGTTCATTACAGAGAAATTAAAAGATATTAAACCTATTTTGAGTTTCGAAAGCAGAATGAGGGAATAATATGTCATTTCTAAAATTCATAAAATCATGTGTTATGAATTAATAAGATAGAAAAATTTTAAGTTCGAAAGAGGTGAATTTCTATTGTCGAGTCGGAGGTGACTGAGGAGTGAAAAAATTGCGAAAAAGGAAACATCATCAAACTTTGGGCATTTCAATTAAGGACTAATTCTTAAAGCAAATTAAAACATTTTCCTTCTTTAAGCAAAACAAATTTTTAAAAAGACAGTGTTTATTGACGTTTCTGAAGTATTTAAGTTTTCAACTGTAGCAGTACTCAAAATTATATCCAATCATAAGAAAGTATCAAAACCTATGTTAAATGCAGCGAAATTAAAATACATTAAAATCAGTCAAACCCCGCTATAGTGAACATGGTTTATAGTGAACTCCCGGATATAGTGAACCAAGTGTTCGGTCCCTTGCCTTGCTATACACGCATAATGTCATTTTTCGCGGATATAGTGAACCAAAAAAGTGAGGAAGTTGGATATAATGAACTTTTTTCTGTCTTTGACTGATTTTTTTCTTAATTTTTTTGATATTTTCAGGGAATATTAACTATCCAAATCTGAAGTTTGTAACATATGGAAAAATAGGCAATTAATAATTTCTGCTCATGAAAAAAATTCAGATAGCAGAATAAGTTGAGAAAAGCAGATCACAAGGATGATGAAGAAGCATTACTGAAGTGGTTCACCATTCGAAGAAGCCGCAATTTTCCTGCATCTTGACAAATGTGGATGAATTTGCTAAATGTTTTTAAGAGACTACTTTCATGTGCTCGAATGGCTGGTTAGACAGGTTTAAAAAACGGAATAACAGAAATTCAGGAAAAATTATCTGAGAGTCGGGAAGAGTGTTTCCATAACTGATGTTGAGGATTACTCATCAGCTAAAGATTGCTAATTTTTTNATGAATTTGCTAAATATTTTTAAGAGACTACTTTCATGTGCTCGAATGGCTGGTTAGACAGGTTTAAAAAACGGAATAACAGAAATTCAGAAAAAATTATCTGAGAGTCGGGAAGTGTTTCCATAACTGATGTTGAGGATTACTCATCAGCTAAAGATTGCTTAATTTTTTTTGTACGCTAGACGAAGAGTAATGAAAAATAACACATTTTTTGCTACTACATAATATTTTTCAGTCATTTATTTGAATAATGTGCAATAAAGGGGAGGAGTTTGGGAATCATTAGGTAAATTATCTGCTTAACGGATATAGTGAACACCCGGTTATAGTGAACCGAAATTTCAGTCCCTTGAAGGTTCACTATAGCGGGGTTTGACTGTATTCCGAGTTTCAAAAGACGCATCAGAGAAACTTAAAGTTGAAAATATTTTTTAAATAATTAAATATTCTAATAAAAGCTTGTGATTTTTATTACAATAAAACATTTTAAAATTTTGTTAGCATTCGTTGCACTATATATTTAAAAAGTACAAAGCATAAGTACTTCTACAAAAGCTACTCTTTTAAAATGAAAATTAGTCCGATTTTGTTCCGTTTTATCTATAAATAGTATTTCCTTCTTAAAATAAAACAAATACAGGCTGTCTCCCTCATGAGAGTTTTACGTCTGGGTCCTAAAATTACATTTACATAAAATTCATTAATGCGTCTTTGTAAGCAAATGAAACCCATTATTCTGGAGTCATAAAAATAATGTACTTCTTACAAGAAATTCTCGAAAAATAATAGAATGTAAAATGTACAAACAATATTTGAATGAGTTTTTTTTACATAGTTCTTTACTAATATTTCTGTAATATTCGTCTAAGTGCTGAGGCAATTTAACTGTAGTTTGTTGTTACTAGGAAAACGAAGAATATGTTTTATTATTTAAATAAAAGCATATGAGAAATGAAACAGCTGGGAATTTATATGGGACATTCCATATTGCTTGCTACGCAAGAGACATTTCACTTAAGAAATACTTTTGAGAAAATTATTTTAATACATTCTACAGTTTTATAATTACATCTTTTTAAAAAAAATAAATGTAAATAATAGCAAATAAAAATTGTTCTCTTAGATTAAAAAAAAATGAGTCTCCGTTCCCCTAAACGTTTATATTATGCACAAAAACAAGGAATTTTTCGTTTATAAAATGACAATTATTGTCATTTTAAGTAACAACATTTAGTTAATTGAAAAGAAATTTACGACTACATGGATTTGAAATATAAACATCTGAACTTGAAAAAAAAAATAACAAATAACTTTAAGTAAACAGAACGTGTGACTCAGTGAAAACAAAAAAGAACAATTTTTTCTTGTTGATGAAACTTATAAAAATTCAAATAGGGTATGGTTTTTATCGCTCTTAATTATTATTTTATTATTTTTGAAAGTGGTCGCAAAATTGAGATATATTTATATGTTTTAAGCTAACACACAATGGATATTTATTTTAAAGGAAATATATATAGGTGCAAACAGTAACTATAGAAACTTTTAAAATAAAGAAACATAGACCTTGCGAAGGAAAAGTAAATTTTCCACTACAATGAATAAATAGGCAATATTTAAAGTAAATAAATTAAAAATATCGCAGAAAAGCAGATAAATTTATTATAACTTTAGAACGAATAAGAATTTCGAAACAAAATTTGTGTCAGGTTCGGAAATAAAAATGGCTCTCTCAGTTCGTCAACTCCGTAGTTGTAGCGGGGTGCATATCAACCAAACCAATTTTTTTTCAAGTTTATAGGTTACTATTCTCGAAATAAAATAATTGACGTAAGCAAATAAATTTTTATCCCGTTGTTCTCCCTGTTACCCACAGCTCACCGTAATTTCGATCTGTTAATTCATAAAATTTTTTGCGCAACAAGACAAAATGTAACGAAAAAAAATCGAATTAATGCACACAAATTTAAAAAAAAATCCCTTAAGCAAGCAATAACTGCTTGAAAAAATCTGAATTTTTAAAAAGAAAACTAGAGTTCATTAACAAAAGTACATTTTTCAGCAAGCCAAATTTTAACTCTGTCCGCAGTGTCACCCAGTAGGACATTTTTTACTTAAATATTGACAATTAATAATTCTCTATTTTGACAATCCTTCGTAATTTTGCTATCTAAGTTTTGCGCAACAAAACAAAATATAACATTTAGTTAAACACCTGAAATAGCGTCGCATCTGAGTCAGGCCTGAAAGCCAGACGGAAGAGAGAAAATACTGGTAGAAGAACAAGTTCAATCGAAGAAGCAATTCAATATAATAATTGTATCCGTAAAAAACAATTGGTAGTTATTTATTTTTATTATTCCCGAAAAAAACCGTAAAAATGAAATTTATTTGTTACCAGTTTTTACTCTTTTCCGTCTTGATATTCATAGGCTTTCAGCCCTGATCTGAGTCGGAAAGAAGACTCGATTTTTAAAAAAAAAATTTATT